CTCTCCTCAATGAATAGTTTATTTCAAGAAACACTCAGCTATTACTGTCAGCATTTCAAATCTCTCAGCTATTGGTTTACATTAAGTGGGAAAATCAGAATTTGAACCCCAGTGTGTAGAACTCTAGAATTTGAATGTCATACCACTTTTCATTGACCAGGGACTTAAGATTCTCTTCCACGTACCCAAACTTATGCCTTAAAGATGCAGCCCCAATAATTTGAGGTGATAGGGTAAGGAGAGGTTAGGCAGGCATTTATCAGGGTTTCCTAGTTTCCTTCGTTGAAGCAATTTATTTTGTACTCGTGGCTCTTAAATGTTCTTACATGTCACCAACTCTTTCAGTGGGTGGCACAATACCAGTGCAAAGACAGAGGTTCATAGAAATGGGTTCACACTCCTCATGGGGTTCCTTCCAAAGCAGAACATTTTTTGAAAAATACAAGCTTTCCTTAACACATGGCATCATGTTCTATGCTTCTGATCTATGGAAATCACAGAGAAAGCAGCTACTGCTTTTACTGTAATTACTGTGCATTTTGTAGTCAGTATTTACAATTTCTCTAAGCATTCAAGCATGTCTGTGAACTGCATCTATTAAAGCTTGATGGTCCAGGTCATTACTTACAAATTATCATTATGCTCATGCTCTGGATAGGGAAGTATGGGCTTTCAGTACTGTGGTTACTAACCACTGTCCAGCTAGTGGTTATTTGGAAATTGTTGGCGACTGTTCTGCCCAAACTTTGCCACCTGTTTCGCAACTTGTAGTTCAGCTTGATTCTACCATTCAATCTGATTCATGGGCTGTGTATAATAATATTTAGGATATCCAGTTCTATGGGAACAAATGTAAAGCAAAGTGCAAGTCTATAAGAAGCGTTCATTGTGATATATTAGACTTATACATTTTTGGCTGAATTTATATGGCATGATCAATTTGGAAATAATCCTTTCACTTCTCTTTTATTGCATATATCCAGACAATTTTTTGTAAACTAATGTACTTTGACTTTTGTTTAACATGTTTTAGTACAAATATTCAGGAATAAACTCTTTTTTTTGGCCAGGGTTGGGTTTGAACCTGCCACTTCTGGTATATGGGGCTGGTGTCCTACCCTCTTTGAGCCACAGGTGCCTCCCTCAGACAAACTCTTTAATTGAATACTTTTGAGACAAATTGTTCAGTTGCTTTGATAAATCTTTCACCTAAAAACAACTAGTTGAAGTACAAACCAGCTATACAAGGATTGGAAAAACAAGTAAAAATCCAGAGATTTCTATTTCTTTTAGAGTCTCACTTTGTTGCCCTCAGTAGAATGCCATGGTGTCATAGCTCACAGCAATCTCAAGCTCCTGGGCTGAAGTTATCCTCTTGCCTCACCCTCCTGAGTAGCTAGGACTACAGTCTCCTGCCACATGCCTGGCTATTTTTAGAGATGGGGTTTTGCTCTTGCTAAGGCTAGTCTCCAACTTCTGAGCTCAAGGCCAGATATCTGCCTTGACTTTCCAGAATGCTAAGATTATAGGCATGAACTACCATGCCCAGCCTCAGAGGAGAATTTTTAAGAACATTTTTAAGTTAAACATATACCAATGAAATCTATTTTATCTAAAAAGGAAGTAGAAAATATAAAATTTTGAGTAACTATTAAGACTGTGGTTATAGATTTATTTCTGAAGAAGTCCTTGGGCCCGAAAGTTTTGGTAGAGAATTTTGGAAAATCTTGAAAGTTGAAAATTAGACAGTGTTCTTAATAAATGCTGCTGTTTAGAGTATTGGTGGCAGTCTTGGGTAATACAATGAGATAGGAAAAGAAATGAGTAATGATTGGTAAATGTGAACCCAATAGAATTATCTTGGCAAACTGCTGAAAGAGGAAGGAAATTTATCAACTGCCTTAGATAAGAACAACATACTCTAGTAGCTTTCCTATGTCAACAACAACCAATTAGAAAATATAATGAAAAAAAGATTTCTCATGTGTAGTTATTTGAAAGCAAGTTGGTACTTAAAAATAAACCTAAAAAGAAATTTTCAAGGCCCTTATGAAGAAAAAAAAAC